ATATATATATATATATATATTCTAAAAAATAAAAGATAACAATAAAGTTAAAATTTTTGCATTTATATACCTCTTATGCATTCTATGTAGGCGTTGCCGGTAAAATCCTGAGAACAGAAACAGATACCCGTGTGAGACGTGGATTTACATTGCGCATTAAAACCGCACTGAGTTGTCAAACAGGCATCGACGCATTTTCCATTCAAACACGTCTCGTAGTTGGCGCAATCTTGATCTAAATGACATTGTACGTCGCCCAACACTGCAATGCATCCATAGACAATTAAACAAGTTATGGAATAATAATACAAAATTATACATTTCGTATAAGATTGATATGTACCAATCTGTTTGCACTGGCCATTAACATCAGTGATCGTGTTCGATGGACACAAACAGATCATCGTACGAAGTGGTTCCGTGTTCAAGACTTTACACTCCTGTTCACTGGTGCACATACCAGCGGATATACATGGATCTTGACATTTAGTATTAATACAAGCGAGATTCAATGTGCATTCATTATCCTGCGTGCATTCCGGCTCAATAGAAGGTTCACCTAGGAATCACAAATATATCAGAACCCCTTAAAACTATCTCTGTTATAGACCAATTTTAAATAAATTTTTCTTCGATAAAGTTAACAACAAAGTAACAATAAAGTTTTAAAACTCAACATACCAATGCATGTTACATAGGGATTTCCGGTAGTACCTAGAGGACATGTGCACTTCGGCTGATGATCGCGCGCGACACAAATTGCGGTTTCGCCACACGCATCGTCGTCGCAAACCGGTCTGCAAACTCTATTCAGTCTGTCACAGGCTTCATGATCAGCGCAATCTTCATTGTAATGGCAGATCGCAGAAATACATGCCACACGTGGGTCACCTTGAGTACCTTGCGGACAGATACATTGAGCTCTATGAGATACCGCTCTGCATTCTGCACTCCGACCGCACACAACATCACCAATGAAACATGGAGAGATGCAATTATCGTTGCGGCAGGTTTTATCATAAGGACAGTCATTGTCTGTTTTACATTCCGCTGAAAGAAAAGAGACAAATATGTGCAATAGAGACAAATAAATGCTACGTATCCAAATAAAAATTTTTAAATTAATTTTCAACATGTTTGAGATCTTGTCATTAAGATGCACTAGACTTATTGTTGTTCTTTTAAAAAATCAAAGAAAATGATTATTTCAATTATTTTAAAGTTTATAAATACATTTTATGCTGGCAATGTGACAATTTTTAGAATTTATAAGAAACTTACGTCTGAAACATTGAGCTTGTGGATCACCGGCTAAACCATGTTGGCAGTGACAAGAAGGATGATGATTAATCGTGATGCATTCCGCATTTAGACCACAACGATTGCTGGAGCATGGATCTTGGCACAATTGATTTATACACGCTTTGTCAGATGGACACTCAGTGTTTATTCTGCATTCCGCAAGAACTATATTTTCTGTAAATGTAAAAGGCAGAGATATAAAAAACGTATGATCGCTTATATTAAGAAATGAAAAAAAGTATACAGTACCTTCATAGCAATTTATGAATGGATCACCGACGTATCCGTGGGGACACTGACACGTACGGCGATGATTTTCAATATGACATTCCGCATTTGGTGAGCATGGATTAACGGTGCATGGATTGATGCATCGACGGTTTAGACAGGCCATGTCCGGTGTACATTGTGAATCACTCTCGCATACCGCAGCAATTTGTTTGTCCACTGCAAATACACAAAATATTCGTAATTCAATTATCAATGTTTTACCGTATACAGTTAATTGAATTAATTTTATTTGAAAATTTCGATTTTTAAAAAAATAATTCATTTTATTTTATTTAGATATCTTTTTCTATATTAATGTATATTAATGTATATGTATATTTGTTTGGATAAAAGTCTACCTGGCACGCAAGCAACGGTGGCATCGCCAGCAAAATTTGGCAGACATTCGCAAATCATTGTTCTCATCGGTAAAGTATCTACAACGCTACATTTAGCACTAACAATGCATGGTTTCGTTTCTGTACATGGATCTTTGCAAATACCATTGAAACATGCCAATTTGCTAGGACAGTCGGCATCGACTTGACATTCGGTCTCTGGTTCTAACAGATCTAAAATAACAATAGATATTACATAAGTATATTATCAAATCATAACTAATTGTTACTTTGCAAATTTTTTACGGCATCTAAATTATCACTTGTTAAATATATTTTCTCAACTTTACTAACAATAATTTAATGATATAATAATAAATAAAATTTAAAAATATAATAATTTAATAATATAAGGCTTTATATACAATCATATTTCTCATTCTATTGAATACATAATTGCATATATGTGATGACGATTATCTTTATTTAATATACTTCTCATATACTTTACAAATATATTTATAAACCTAATATTAAAATAGATTCTTACCCATGAGACACGAAATGTAAGGATTACCCACGTAACCAGGTGGACATTTACATATTGGCCGATGATTAACAACATTGCACAATGCTGGTGGTGGACAGTTGCAAGGATTGACACATCTTAAGTTGCGGCAGACCAAAGATGGAGCGCAATCATTGTCGCTAGTGCACTCAGGTCTTTCGCATATTTCGTAAGGATTACCCGTATATCCATCAGGACAATAGCATCGAGTTTTATGATATCCATCAGCAGTACACATTGCATTAATGCCGCACTGTGTAACCAGGCAAGTATCAACACATTCGTTGTTAATGCAAGATTGAATTAATGAGCATTCGCTATCGCTACGACAACCGACTGTAAAAAAAATATTAATAAAGTTGATATGTGTTATATAATTAAAAGATATAAAATTAAATACATGTATATTTGTTCAACGCACGTTGATGGCAATATTGTTGAGGATATCCAGTATAACCATCATTGCAGATACATATAGCTCTGTGCATTTGCACATGGCAGCGACTATTAAGACCACAAGAATCAAGAGTACACGGATCAACGCATTTTTGATTGAAGCAGGTTTTGTCATTTGAGCACTCGGAATTTTGTGTGCATTCTGGAATTGGTTCTGCAAAGATATAATTAAAATTTAAATTTTATTATCATGCACACAACAATAAAAAACATATTTCTTCATAAATTTAACTCTAAAATTAATTATTTTCGATATACATTAATGCTTTATCTATGCTATATAGAATAATTTTTTGATATATTTATTAATATCAGTATTTCGTTAGATCATTATCTATATATAATTTGAATATTTACGAAATAATATAATATATGCATATTTAAGAAAATAGAATTAATTTTTTAAATTAATAATAATTTAACAAATCTATTTTCAAAAATATATCTAACATTGTATTGATACATTCTTCAGATGTAAATATTACCTTCAAGGGCTGGAATTGTGCACTGCACTCGCGCATTACCCATGAATCCAATTGGACAGGAACAGATTGGTTTGTGATTAACGGTTTGACAGATAGAATTGATACCACACGCACCAATGCAGGGATCTTTGCATTTCTGCGAAAAGCAGGCTTTATCACGCGGACAGTCTGAATTAATAACGCATTCAGGATAAATACAAACAGCGACACCATTTCTCACTCTGCACTCGCCGTTGTAATTACAAGGCGATGGACTGCAAGGATTAGTTTCTAAAACAAAAATGTGTATTTTATAATAACAGCGAAACAATCTGAGAATTAATATATTTCATACAAAATTCAAAATTTTTCAATATTTACCGATCTTTGTATAACATTCCTCAAAAGGATTGCCGATCAACGGAGATGGACAACTGCAAAGTGGACTATGATTGATCGTCTTGCACACTGCCTTGCTACCGCACACATTCTGAGAACAGGGATCTTTGCATTTACTCTGTATGCAAGCTTTATCACCCGGACAATCCGAGCTGAGGACGCACTCCGGATGACAACCAGTTATACTCGTTGGAACGCCTTGCAGTCCAGGCAAACATTTGCAAATTGCTGTATTACCAATTTTCTCGCACATAGTATTTGGACCGCACGGTGATGGATAACACGGATCCATTTCCTTAGTATCTAAACAAAAATAATAATAGGAATTAATAACGTTCATCATAAAAAAAAAGAAAGGAAGATACAGCGTTTAATCTTTTGTTTAAGAGCTCTTTATTCAATTAAAAAGATAAATGATTAAATTATACATAACACTGCTGTTCGACAAAATTTGATCTCTTTTTTTGCAACACGTGTAAATATATAATCATTTTCGATGTATTTTTGTTTGCAGAATACGAATCTGTTAGCCAAATTTGATTATCATGTCACAATTTTGAGAAAAAGGATGTTAAAGAAAAATGATTATTTTAAAGATTTTTGACATAGCAGCAAATTTTTTTCTAATTTCATTAGCCACGCGAAAATCAACGTTAAATTTTAAAATGCATTTTATTTTATTTCGTTATGATGAGTGTTGCAACATCAAAATTTTTTTAATCATTGTTTTATCTCTTTCATGTTATTTTTCTCAAAATTTTCTCAAAATGATGTGATAACCAAATTTGACTAACAAATTCAATAGGCAAAGTACATCGGAAATAATTATTCACACTTTTATTGAAAAATGATGTTGGACAGTGTAATTAAAAAGAGAGAAGATATAAGCAAACTCTTACCTTCCACAGGGACTTGACAGAGCGTGAAAGCATCTCCGATTGTTGGCAGTGGGCAAGAACAAATAGGGACGTGATTGGATACGGTACAGGTTGCACCAACGCCGCAAGTACCAGGACAAGGATCTTGACATTTCGTTTTTATACATGCTTGCGATTTTGAACAATCAGTATTTACGAGGCACTCGGGTTGACAGCCTTGATACGGATTCCCTCTATAGTTCGGTACGCACTCGCAAATGGCTGTGTCAAATCTCTCGTGGCAGTACGCATTTATTCCACACGGTGATGGACTGCACGGTTTAGATGGTACCGGTGGTGTTGGAATGGCTAAAATAGAACAGAAAACACATAATTAATTTCATAGTCATAGTTTTACGATTTAAAAATTATACATGCAGTATATATTAATGTATAAATTAATGTTTTTAAAGATATAGTATTATTTGCATATGAGAACAAAAGTAAATACATATATGTCTGTTGCATGCAATGTACATGTTTTTTATACATGTAAAAGTGTAACATATATATAATACATATATTCAAAGATATTTTGTCACGTATCGGTATATGATAGTCGAATATAGCATTTAAAACATGATGCAAGATCAATATGTGACAAAAAAATTGACACGTGCAGTTCTTTTAAATAATTATGTACACTAAGGATATTTACAAGATCTAGAGTTCAAGAAATCAAGTTTTAGAGATTAAAATGTTGATTGACAAGATGCCGAAGTAATATGTCCATCAGGTCAGTTATTACGGGTAAAGGTAGCGGGGATTTTCTTACATATTATCTCAGAGCAAACTGTGAATGGGTCTCCAGTGTATGATTCGGGACAAGTGCATCGGGCTTGGTGCAAAGTAACTTGGCACAGTGCATTGAATCCGCATAATCCAACACACGGATCGGTACACTTCTGCTTAATGCATGCTTGATTGGTGGGACATTCGCTGTTTACATGGCATTCGGGTCTACAATTGGGTGGAGATCCTATAAAGGTGGGCGAACAGGAGCAGGAGGGTATATTATCGGCGGATACCGCGCACTGCGAGTTCAATCCACATGGTGAGGGGTAACACGGATCCCTGGTGGGTTCTACGTCCGGTGTTGCTGGTGATAAAAAAAAGAAATTCATTATTTGTTTCAAAGTTAAAGAAAAGACATCTCAAATACAACAATGCAAACACAATCGAAGAGTCAAGAAGACATCCAAAAAACACATTTATCCTTCTCATTCTCAAATTTTAGACGCCTATACAATGTCTCTTAGATGTTTGCATTATTTGCAGGGTAGTTACTTACTTATGGGGAAACAGTTGATAAACGGGTCACCGGAATGCTGAACAGAGCATCTGCAAATTGGATTATGATTTCGCACAACACATAGCGCGTTCTGGCCACAAGCGTTTTCACAAGGGTTGCGACATCTCATGTTCACGCAAGCCTTGCTCTGCTCGCAATCGGTGCTAATGAGACATTCGGGTCTACAGCTTGGCGGGATACCGAAGTAACCAGATAGGCAAGAACATGAGGCTTGATCTCCGAATTCACGACAAATGCTGTTAGGTCCGCAAGGGGAGGGCTCGCAGGGTTTGACGCGTGCTATCGAGATGTAAGGTAGTAAAATTAATTGACTTTTTTCAATGACAGAATTCCTCAGAGAATAAACAAAAATAGGAAAACTCACATTGCACACGTTTACAGAGAGTGAATGGATCGCCTTCATAATCCTTGACACAGCTACAAGTGGATACATGATTGATAACCGCGCATTCCGCATTCTGGCCGCAAATTCCGACGCAGGGATCCACGCACTTATTATTCGCGCAAGCTCTATTGAATGGACAATCAGAATTCTGCACGCACTCCGGCCGACATTCTCGATATGGATCACCATGATATTCAGGTATACAATTGCAAATTCCATTACGGCAATCGGCATTCAATCCGCATGGCGACGGATTACATGGGTCTGATGTTACTGTAGGAATTTCTGTCGGAATCGAAAGACGCAAGTGTAAAGAATGATTATTTTACATTATTAGTTTATTAAAAAAAAAAAAAAAAAGAATTTATAAGTGGGCAAAAGTTCTTACGCATGGGCGCCAGGTAACAGTTGCTGAAGGGGTCGCCTGTGTATCCATTGAGACATGTGCAAGTCGGGGTATGCTTGATTACAGTGCACAAGGCATTAAAACCACAGGATCCAGGACAGGGATCTCTGCATTTTTCTCTAATGCAAGCTTTATTACTGGTGCAATCAGAATTAATTGAACATTCGGTACGGCAGTAAGGTGGCGATCCAATGTAATTAGGCATACACGTGCAAAATGGATAGCCTCCCTTGTCCTGACACGTGGAGAATGGCCCACAAGGCGATGGGACGCAAGGGTTTACTTGTAGTGTTGGTACAGGCATCACTGGAATAAAATTTTATATAATAATCTCCGCGCATATACAGGACTATCTTTCAGTTCGCGATGTGTTCTCACAGTAAACTTTTAAACCGGGACTTACAGGGCATGTCGAAACACTTGACGAAGGGATCTCCAATTTGACTGGGTCCGCAACTGCAGAATGGACTGTGGGACAGGGCATCACACTTAGCGTTAATACCACATACACCTGGGCATGGATCGACGCATTTCTGATTGACACATGCGCGATTTATAGGGCATTCTGTGCTAACCATACATTCAGGTCTGCAATCTGGGGGAATTCCTTGATAAGTGGGCAGGCACGAACAACTGGCTTTTCCGTTTACATTGAGACATCGACTATTCGGACCGCACGGTGACACTTGACAAGGATCGCCTATAGGAGCTATGCAAGATCGATCAAAAAAATAAAACGTGTTTCTGTAAATGACTGATAATAACGGATAGATGTTTGAATCCACTTACGAGTTTCCTGCATGAGTTCGCAGTATCTGAATGGGTCTCCGGTATATCTCAATTGGCAGCTGCACATCGGTATATGGTTGACGATTTCGCAAATTGCATTGACACCGCATGTTCCTGGGCAAGGGTTCTGACACCTGTTTCTTATGCAAGCTCGATTGGATGTACAATCAGAATTGATTACACACTCGGGTCTACAACCTTCGTACGGATTTCCGTAGAAATCGGGCAAACAAGTACAGGAAGCCGAGCCAGAAATTTCACGGCACATAGCATTTGCGCCACACGGTGACGGCTGGCACGGATTTAATGGAACTAGCGGTGTATCGACTAAAATAGAGGGCCATATATTGTTAATTATCAAAATAATATGTCAAATGTAATTTATAATAAAAATCACATAATGCGTATTTTCTGTGATAGTTACTTTTCTTCAAAACTTACTTGGTCGAGGATTGCACTGGATAAATGGATCACCGGTAAAGTCACCGGCGCAAATACATATCGGGGTGTGACTGACAGTTCTACATTCAGCATTTCTACCACACGATCCCGGACAAGGATCACGACATTTCTGGTTAATGCAAGCTTGTTGACTAGGACATTCACTGTTACTAACACACTCCGGTCTACATCTAGGCGGAGTGCCGATAAATTGGGGCAAGCAAGAGCATGATGGAGCGTCATTGAGGATTCGACATATTGCATTCGGACCGCAAGGTGAAGGTTGACAGGGATCTATGGGTGGTTGTGGTTCTTCCGCTGCAATTTAAAGTGTTATAAATGCCTTGACGTAATATTAATTATATATGACAATATAAGTCTCTAGTTTCATGAAATTCTTACGTTGACGAATACATTGAACAAATGGATCTCCTGTGTACAAAGGCGGGCAACTGCATATAGGATTGTGATTCACGACAGTACATTGTGCGGTTAATCCACATGCACCGAGGCACGGATCGATGCATTTTTGATTGCTGCAGGCTCTGTTGCGAGCACAGTCGGCACTTATAAGACATTCTGGTCTACAGGACGGTGGAGTGCCTCTAAAGCCGGCAATGCACGCGCAAATGGCTTGATTATTTGACACACGACAATGGCTGTTTGGACCACATGGGGACGGATTGCACGGTTGTTTCATGATAGTTGAATCTATTTAATAATTATATTATATCTATTTAATATTTAATATTTAATAATTATTTCACTCTTACAGAAAATATTTTCGAAATGAATATTTTCATCGCGCTTGAGAATCGTACAAACCTTGAAGCGGTGTACAGGATACGAATGCGCTACCAGTCATATTTCTTGGGCAACTACACATGGGCAAATGATTAACAACAATACAATCCGCGTTAACGCCGCATGTCCCAATGCATGGATCGCGACATTTGTGGAATATGCATGTTTTATCACGAGGACAATCAGTATTAATCACACATTCTGGCCGACAACCGACATAAGGATCTCCTAAGTATTCGGGTATGCATGTGCAAACTCCGTTGTTACATTGTGCGTTCTGACCGCACGGTGATGGATTGCATCGGTCTGGGGGAAGTACTGAAATGTACAGATCAAATTGCAGTGATTTAGAGTAGTAATATGCTTGCTAGAATAATAACATGATGGAAACTCAAGTTCTTACGAGGTATCTGAGGTAAAACGTTGCAACTGATGAAGGGATCGCCAGTATAGCCTTCAGGACATATGCATGATGGTGTATGATTAATAACAGAACAACGCGCTAAGAGGCCACATGATCCTGGACAAGGATCTCTACATTTTTCTCTGATACAAGCTCTATTAGCGGGACAATCCGAATTTATTGAACATTCGGGTCGGCAATTAGGTGGAACACCCATGTAATTTTGCATGCAACTGCACGCTGGTGCATCACCAATGGCTCTGCATAAGGCATTGGGGCCACAAGGTGAGGGTAAGCATGGGTCCTTTAGATATTGGTCTTCTGGTTTCGAAACTATGGAAAAGTATAAGTAATATTAACATTCTTAGTGCATATAAAAATAGATAGCATTAATCAAAAGTTAATAAGGTCAACTTAATTTTAATAAATTTTAAAATTTTATAAAAAAAGCTATCGTGTTCTACAGAACATACTTGCCACCGCGAAGCAATAGATGAAAGGATCGCCTGTATAGCCATTTGCGCAGACACAAATAGGACTATGATATACGACTTTGCATTGAGCATCGCGACCACAAGTGCCGATGCATGGATCTACACATTTTTGATTAACACACGCTCGATTCGAACCACATTCTGAATTTACTAAACATTCCGGTCTACAATTTGGCGGAGTTCCAATAAACTGAGGCAAACAGGAACAGACAGCTTGACCATTATTATTGGTACATTGACTGTTGGGGCCACAAGGAGAAGGCTTGCATG